ATTTATTTTCTTATTTTGATAGAAGTCATGGTAAAAGTTCATGTTGTTGACCTAAAGCAAGAAACTGTGGTTCCTCCAATTAGTGTCCGTGCTTATTTGAACCAGACAGTTACGGAATTTAAGCATCTCATTTCAAAGGTAAATCAATTGCATCATCTTGTGTTATTGCAATATTCACTCTTGCATGGCATTTGTGTTTTATAAAGATATAGCGTGCTTTGGTCCATGGGCTGACAAAGAGTCGGACACGACTTAAACGACTAAACAACAACAACAAAGATACAGCAATATCTATATTGTATAAAATGTACCCTGAAAAGAAATTATATGCAGATTATCTTTTTATAGTCAGCTTGCAAAAAACGATTAACAGTATCTTATTTCTTTTGGCCTCCTTAGACTGTACATTTGCCAGCTGAAACAATGCGGGTTGTGCTGGAACGTTGCTACAATGATTTGCGTCTCCTCGGTGTGGCTAACAAAACACTTAAAGCTGAAGGCTTTTTTAGGAGCAATAAAGTAAGATTTTATGTTAAATTAGTTTTGTCTTGGGAAGTGCTAATGTTGTTTCTTAAATCCACTGTATGTCAACATGTGTTTTTTAAAAACCTATACAGTGGTGCCTCGCAAGACGAAAAGAATCTGTTCCGCGATTCTCTTCGTCTTGCGGTTTTTTCGTCTTGCGAAGCAAGCCCATTAGCAGATTAGCGCTATTAGCGGCTTAGCGGGCTTAGCGGATCAGCTGATAAGCGGCTTAGCGGATCAGCTGTTAAGCGGCTTAGCGATCAGCTGTTAAGCGGCTTAGCGGATCAGCTGTTAAGCGGCTTAGCGGATCAGCTGATAAGCGGCTTAGCGGCTTGGGAAAAAGGGAGGTAAAAGGAAAAAAACCCAGGAACTCGCAAGACATTTTCATCTTGCGAAGCAAGCCCATAGGAAATTCGTTTTGCGAAGCACCTCCAAAACGGAAAACCCTTTCGTCTAGCGGGTTTTCCGTCTTGCGAGGCATTCGTCTTGCGGGGCACCACTGTATCTCAAATGGCATATGAAAACAAAATGAGATGGGATGGCTTCCAAAGAATAACCATTGTCTAGATTTCAGCAATATTGGCTAAGACCATAGACCTGTCCTGTAAGAATAACTTAATTGACAGATGCATCCTTTGTGTATTTCCATATCTGAGTGCTCTATACATAAATTCCTTATGAAACAGATTTTTTCTTCTACATTTCATCTCTTTATTTTAGGTATTTATTGAAAGTTCAGAGTCTCAGGATCGACAACTGGCATTTACAGATTCACAGTTATGGAAACTCCTAGATCGGCATGCAAATACAATCAGACTGTACGTTTCATTACCAGAACAATCTCCTGGATCACAGTTCAGGCGGACAGTTTTACAGAAAGCCAGTGGAGACTCTGGAAATCTAGATGAAATATGTGAAAGACTGAAAGGACCTCTAGGTAATATGAAATCAGTAGAAGCTATCCTAGAAGAAAGCACTGAAAAACTTAAAACCTTATCTCTACAGCAGCAGCAGCAAGAAGGGGATAATGGAGACAGTAGCAAGAGCACAGAGGCAAGTGACTTTGAAAACATTGAATCTCCTTCAAATGAGATAGACTCATCAGCATCAGCAGAAAACCGAGAACTTGAAAACCAAATACAGGTTTCTGATCCAGATAATTTCCAGTCAGAGGAGCGATCAGATTCTGATGTGAATAATGACAGGAGTACAAGTTCGGTGGACAGTGATATTCTTAGTTCCAGTCACAGTAGTGACACATTGTGCAATGTAGACAGCGCTGCTATACCCTTGGCCAATGGACTTGACTCACACAGTATAACAAGCAGTCGGAGATCCAAAGCCAACGAAGGGAAAAAAGAAACATGGGATACAGCTGAAGAGGATTCTGGAACCGACAGTGAATATGATGAAAGTGGGAAGAGCAGGGGAGAAGCACAATATATGTATTTCAAAGCGGAGCCCTACGTTGCAGAAGAAGGTTCAGGAGAGGGGCAAAAATGTATGTATGAAAGGCAAAACATATGTTTTGAAATGTACATTTTTATTATTTTACATTTGCATGCTTCCTTTCAACAAAATTTGTAAATTTACCCACACACGTATTTACAAAATGGAGAAAGATGCTCCTAGATACTCAAGAGTGATATCCAACTTTGGCTCACCAGATGTAACAGATCTTTCCTTTCCTCTTATATACTGTACAGTCCGCTGCATCCCTGTAACTTAATTTGGAGGATCTGGTCCAGGGGTCAGCAAACTTTTTCAGCAGAGGGCCGGTCCACTGTCCCTCAGACCTTGTGGGGGGCCGGACTATATTTTGCAGGGGGGGAAATGAACGAATTCCTATGCTCCACAAATAACCCAGAGATGCATTTTAAATAAAAGCACACATTCTACTCATGTACAAACACCAGGCCAGCCCCACAAATAACCCAGAGATACATTTTAAATAAAAGCACACATTCTACTTGTGTAAAAACATGGATTCCCGAATCTTCCGCGGGTCAGATTTAGAAGGCAATTGGACCACATCCGGCCCCCAGGCCTTAGGTTGTCTACCCCTGGTCTGGTCCCTCAATCCTCTAGAGCAGATTTTGGAGGTCTGAAGAGAGCTGCAGGATATGGAGGCCCCACTTTGCAAGTGAAAATCTGTTGTGCTGACACTGCTGGATATTGCCCTTTGGAGAACATAAAAGGATGAGGTGTGGAGAATTCTCTACTGCCCAATATTTTATTGGAAACCTGCATGTTTAATCTTCATATTTTGGCAGAGTATTTGCATTTGAGTGAAAATGGTAGGTGCCATTTTGTAGTTGACAGGAAATGCTGCAAATATGCCGTGCCTCTTCTGCGTGACAAAAAAGGGGGAAAGTTAGAGACTGTTCCTTTTCGGGAGGAGGGGATGACATCCTCCCCAAACTCTTGGACCTGTGTGCCTGTAATTTGGCAAACATTATTCATTTTGAAAGGGCAACTATGCCTATAAAGTTTATCTACTTCCGTCAAAAAGAAAAGTGTCAGGCTTTGTTTGTTTTTTGTTTCCTGATAGTGAATGGGGGTAGGGTTAGCAAAGCAGATATGAACATCCATTCCATTATACTTCTTGCTGAACTGGGGTTCACAGTCTGCACTTAGTGGAGAGCACTTGAAGATGATTCACTTGACACTGCTACATTACAGGAGTAGCATAGTAGATATTAGCAAGTATACATTATGCACAAAGAATTTCATTGGGTTTGTTTGTTTATTTCTTTCTTTTTTGCTTTAGGGCTGTTGATTCATGTTGATAAAAGAATTACGCTCTCTGCCTTCAAACAACACTTGGAGCCTTTTGTTGGCGTTCCATCCTCTCAGTTTAAGGTCTTTCGAGTTTATGCCAGCAATCAGGAGTTTGAGAGTGTTCGGCTGAATGAGACTCTTTCATCCTTCTCAGATGACAACAAGGTTAGCAAAATCTGCTGTTAAATACTGAAATACATGTAATAAGGTCCAGAATATGGGGATTATTCAGATATTTTGCAGGTGAAGCATTTGTCTCTGTGTTGCAATATAGGGACTTAGTAGCTACATAGGAAAAACCACATTCTACAACTAGGGTAATTTATGAAACTTTGTTAAATATATATATTTCATAATTGAAACTGTCTTTTCTCTTCACCTTACTTGTAGCTAGATGACTTGGAGAGGTCATCTAACCCAAATAGTATACCACATTAAAAAAAATATCCCTGACTTGAGTCTGTTGAACACCCTTTTTAAAGTTTCTTGCCACACCTTCCTTCACCCTCCTAAAATCTGAGACTCTAAATTTTGTGGGGCAACCATTCCCTCATGCCTGTAATATCAAAATAACAAAAAACTGTAGGCCTTCTGGTGGTTATGATTCTTGCTGTATTGACTTAAGGGCGTCGACTTGACCCCCACATTGTGTGCTCTGCGCTTGGCCTCCTCCCCGCACAATATCGGGCGGGGAGGAGCCAGCAAAGTGCAGCCGCCGGGCTCCACACTTGGCCTCCTCTTGCCCGTGCAACATCAGCAAGGAGGTGGAGCGGGCCACAAGATTTTGGGGGACCCCAGGCCCTTTCTTGAAAAATTTGGGGGGGGGCGGCTGAAGACTCCCCACCACTTGATACGCCTGGTATTGACTATATTCCATGTTGATGATAAGAGACAGCTAACATCTAATCTTGTTTCTATTTTCCCCCACCCCTAATTTAAAAGATAACAATTCGGCTTGGGAGAGCATTGAAGAAAGGTGAATACAGAGTCAAGGTTTATCAGCTCTTGGTAAATGATCCAGAGGTAAGTAAAGCTTGAAAACTCTTGTGTTTGGGCTAGCTTGTCATCTGAAAGTTGGACCATTTACAGTTTAATTGTTTGAGTATGTGCATCATCATTTTATGGGAGCCACTGTGACAAAAAACAGAAATTATCTCTGGGAAAAGTTGTGCATTTAACATATAAATTGTGGCATGAATCTGTTGTCACTTAGTTGCCACAGAGAAGGTGCAGGTTATAGAAGCACAAATTCAGTGGAATGCATTATTGCATGCGATTTAGCACATTAAAAGTAATTCATTTCTATTACATGTCATTATCATTCTAATTAGCCTCTGACTGTGCTCACATGTCATGGTGAACCATAAACCATGGCTTACTATTGCATGCTGCTGAATTGCTCTTCTTTGCTCCACTCATCCTTGAACTGGGAACAAAAAACCATATGAGCCTTGGATTACTGTGATGTATGAACCAGCACTCAAGATTTGTTTCCTAGCTACTCCCTGCACCCATGGAAGGAATGGTTGAATATGAGCATGAGCATGAGGAAATACATAAAATAAACTAGTCTAGTGTTGTTTCCCCATTACTAACAATAATTGGTTAAACCATTGATGTTGACTTCGTAAAACACAAGACAGTGACATGTATTTTCCTTAATCATTAAATGGACATGACACATAACAACAAACTTTTTAAAAATTGCATTGCTTTATTACTGAGTTCTGCATACCTGATAAACAGAAATCCTAAATAGTCTTTGTCACATTGTGTGGAAACCATGGGGTATTTTTTTCAATGCTATGGAGGCTATGGCAGCAGCCCTGTATTTTATAACTTCACCTTTTATGAGTGTGTCAGAGAGTGATTTCTCCAATAAGCTTAATAATTTTACATTTGTTTTCGCAGCCCTGCAAGTTTCTTCTAGATTCTGTTTTTGCTAAAGGAATGACTGTGCGGCAGTCAAAAGAGGAGCTACTTCCTCAGCTCAGGGAACAGTGTGGACTAGATCTGACTATTGACAGGTAAATCACACTACAGTGAAGTTTATGTGAGGTGCCTAAAGCCTGAACTCAAGATGCTTACAGAAAATGGGGTACCGTTGATTTTTGCCATTTAAAGCAAAAAGTATGGGGAAATGCTACTTTTTTTAATTATGTGTTTTAAAATTAAATCTTGAGCAAATATAGTGTGACATGGGAAACCTAGTTTGCTTGTTCAGTGTTGTCATGGACACTTAGCACAATGTAGCACACAATATCTGTCTTTGCATCAGACTTTATATTGTTTCTCATGGAACAAAAACTTTGCTCCATTTCTGCAAGTTCAAACATTATCTTAAAAAACAAAGGATTCCATATGGATATTGAAAAGTTGTATTAGCCCTCTTAGCTCAAATTGGCTAAGTGCTTGCAGTAGAACACATGACCTTTCCCTAATGTAAACGAGGCATTATTCAGATTAAATATTGTGGCCTTAATCTTGATAATGGTTTTGTTTATGGACATATGCTAACATTTCTGCAAATCTTTTTCCTGTAGATTTCGCCTGAGAAAGAAGACCTGGAAAAATCCAGGAACTGTGTTTCTGGATTATCATGTTTATGAAGAAGACATTAATATTTCAAGTAACTGGGAGGTTTTCCTAGAAATACTTGATGGTAATAAGATTGCACAGTAAAAACTATTTAGCTTAAACTGTTGGAAGCCTTTTAATTGTACCAGAATTAGCTAGCTATATTATCAGAAAATTATCGGTTTTTTAAAAACACATTTTAGTGAGACAAAGTGCAACCAATGTGTATTAATGTATTATAGTAATTCAAAAGGGACAAATGAGTGGCAGGAGCTGTATTAAATTTCTTGACTGTGTGAGTGAGATGTCTTAGCATAATCAGTTTTGAGAGATTCATATGCAGGAAAGAAGTTCAAATTAGAAACTAGATTTAAAACCTATAAATGTTATTCATGGGTATCCTTAATGAATTTGTGAATATCTGTTCTGCAAATAGTTTTTATTGAGACTACACATAATATTTAATTCTGTATCTGTGGAACTATTTGCTCAAAGTCTTTACATTATCTCAAATATTTTCTTTTAAAAATTAATGTCTATTTTTAGTGACACTTATCCAAAGATATACAAAAGTTCATACCCTGTACAAAGTATATTTTTATAATACATCACAATAAAAGAAATAGTTTTAAAATCTAATCTAAAAAGGAACATAAGCAAAAAGATGGAAAGGCAAGAGGGGGTGGGGAGACAAAAGAGAAAATGAAAAAAGAAAAATATTTCTGCTTCTCTGTTTTTCAGCTAAATATAGTATGCCATTAACATCTAATTATTCTATTTTCTATAAGCCATTTTTTTTCAATCTTCAAATCCAGATATTGCAAGTTCATTTTCTCTTATGCAAAAAGTCCTTGTATTTCCAATTCTTAATAAATATCAGTAATGATTTTTCTCCGATTAAACACATTAACTTTGTCATCTCAGCTAATAAGTTTATCAAATCTTCTTCAGGAGCAGAAAAAATGAAATCTATGTCACAGCTTGCTGTTCTGTCAAGAAGGTGGAGGCCATCAGAGATGAAGCTGGATCCATTTCAGGAAGTAGTTTTGGAGAGCAGCAGTGTTGATGAATTAAAAGAAAAGGTAAATTACAGAACAGTCCTATGGAGCAGTGTTTCCCAACCTTGGGGCTCTAGCTGTTTTTGGACTACAACTCCCATAATCCCTAGCTAGCAGGGCCAGTGGTCAAGGGTGATGGGAATTGTAGTCCAAAAACAGCTGGAGACTCAAGGCTGGGAAACACTGCTATGGAGGGCGGTGGGCGAAGAGTCATCCAACACCCTACCTGCTAATTGTGGTCAGGGCAGCTTTTGTTCTCTTTACCTCTCCTATTGACACCAAAACACATTTTTCAACTCAAGAGTCGTCGCATTTATTTATGAGCAACTTCTAAGAATTGCATGCCAGTGGTAGATGGGGGTCAGAGGCAAAAGTGGGCAGAAGAATGTATGTGACTCTAAACTTTTCAGCATACAGAGGTCAGAGGTTTCTATATGCACACACTTCTTGCTGTCTTCCATTTCAAACAATCAAGAGTGATCAGTCTAAGGATACATTGTAGCCAGAAAAGAGCACTTGGAAGAGCAAGATGAGTGAGGGATGTGGACTGGGGGGAAAGGATGTGACCTAGGAAAAGTCCCAAGGGCTGAATAGAGAGGCCTGGATTGCCATATTTGGCCCCCGGTTCTGATTTCCCTGCCCCTTCTGTAGTTAACTGATTAACCCCAACTGGAGGGAAAATTAACTATGGAGCTGTACATCTTTCCATATCCATCCTATGTGATGGTGACCTCTGTTCTTCCCCACCATGGAACTCATTCAACAAACTGAGGCTTAATCCAGACAAGACACATGCTGATGGTGGTTAGTTATGTTGATGGGGGTTGAGAAGGTCACATATCCATGTAAAGATCATACTTGCAGTTTGCCAACAGAGGTTTTGTTTGGTATTTACAAATGACATTCAATATGTGAAAAGCTGCACTTCTTAGGATTTTGTGCTGATTGTTATGTCAAGTCTTGACACTTGAAGCCCTGATGTCCCTGGTAGCAAGAAGTAGCTTCTTCTAGATTCAGCTAGCTGGAGGCTTCAACTAGCCTTGGAAATAGCTTGGCCACAGTGATCCATGATTTGGTAGCCCTCCAGTTGGATTACTGTAATGGGTTATATGTGGGGCTGCCCTTGAAGATGACAAGGAAACTTCTGTTAGTACAGTACTTGCTGCATGTTCATTTCCAAGTCCAAGTATTTTAAAGCTCTAAGCAATTTTGGTCTGAAATGTCTCCTGTCAAGCCATCCTGCCTATATCCTTAAGATGTTTGGGGCCTTTCTCTTGAGTCCTTGGCAGAGTTTTGTATGTATGTACTAAGGAAAAAATTCTTTCTGCAGTGGCATTTTTTCTCAGCCTTGCCATTTATGAAGGGTTATGTTGCCTCAATCTTCTTTTTAGTTTTTATATTATTTTGTTGCCTCTGTATAAATTGCATAATGAATATTGTATTTGTATGTGGAGTAATTTAATGTCTTATTGTATACTATATTCAATGAACATTTAGAAATATTTTAAATAAAACATAAATGCAATTTGTGATAACAAATCTGCTACTTTGTCTTCTATTTATCTCTTCATCAAATAAATCTGGCACTGATTTTTTTTTTTTACAGCTTAGTGAAATAAGTGGAATCCTTTTAGAAAACATTGAGTTTGCAAAGGTGAGAATTTTATTTTTCTCTTAATCCTGCAGTGTTTTTTTAGCTTTTAACATGAAAGCCCATTCCTATGCACTAGCTGTTTGACACAAGCGTCTCTGTACTCATACCATAGTGGACGATATGCTATATCCTCTGTTGTGGGGAGGAGAGTAAATGGCGAGCAGGGGTCTGGATGATGAGCGCTTTCACTGATGGTCTTACTGTATCTGCAGTTGCCCATGTATAGTATGTATCTTCTTGGTGTATAGATGTTCTTTTTGCTAAGGTGCTTTCTTCCTTCCAGGGCAGAGGAACATTTCCATGTGAGATCTCAATTTTAGAAATACATCAGGATTTGGATTGGAATCCTAAGGTTTCAACACTGAATGTATGGCCTCTCTACATCTGTGATGATGGAGCAGTGATTTTTTATAGGTATGCCTTTCTGTTGTTGTTTTTTAAATACATTGAAAAACATAGTAATTGTTTGGTACTAAACCAATAACAAAGTTGAGGCTGCAATTCTCCCCCTCCCCCCCAAAAAAAACCCCCAGTGGGGCAGGAATGGTCAGTGGATTGTGCACTGGCACTCCTTGCAGTCAGCCTGCCCAAGTCTGGTGATCCTGCCAACTCTGATTAAATTAAACTTTGGTGTGTTCTTAACCCTGCTTTCCAGATGTTGCTGTCTGTGGGGAAGCTAGCACATTAGGCACCATACAAGTGTCCTCAGATCTGCTGTGCCCACCACCAGACTTCCAACTAAGTATTGTGTTAAAACACTTTTTGTGCACCGTTGCCACTGTTCAAGTATTGTATGTGCAACTACTGTGGTAACTAAAAGACACAAGTGACAGAGTATGCAGCTCTTTGCAGTTATGCCCGTTCACATACCACCAGTGAAGTACGGACAACTAGGTCTTTTCCTCACCAATTCAACAGTGTATCTGGTCCAAAAATTGGCTCTCACTTCAGATATCTATATCTATTCAGAGCAATGTCAAAGTTGATTCTCAAATTGCTTACCGTATCCTTTCAGAGTCTCAGGTTGATGAAGTATTGGTGACACCCTGTTTTCAAAATGCAATATTCTTTTCAGACTCCCTAATTTTGCCTCCAGCCTAGCAGTACCCCTTACTTATGGATTTGGGATAGGACTATTGCTTCAGGGGGACCACATGGAGAAAAACTGTCTTTAGCATGCATCTACTACCATGATTTGCCTAGCATTATGCAAAGAATTTTTTTAAAAAATCTATTGACTATGCCTTAGATTAAAAATGAGCAAGCCCTATTTATTTAAGGTGCATTATTATGGAATTTAAAATTGTTGTATTTCTATAAAAGGGATAAAACTGAAGAAGTGGTGGAATTGACGGAAGAGCAGAGAAATGAGTTAATGAAAAAAGAAAGCAGCAGACTTCAGAAAACTGGACACCGTGTGACCTACTCCCCCCGTAAAGAAAAAGCATTAAAAATATATCTGGATGGAGCACCAAATAAAGATTTGACTCAAGACTGATATTTCAGCATTTTCCCTGGGGAATTTTTTGTTACATGTGAGAGGTACACTACTACTGTGTAGTGCCGTTATGGCAGGACATTAGGTGTAAAGACACCAGCACTGATTGGTAAAACTGCAGCCCAATCAAGCTCAGTGCCCAGTCAGGTCACTGTTTGATTTGGAATCATGTTGTGCACTATAGTCAAATGTACTGTAAAGATAAAAGGGATGTGCAAATAAACAAAACGAAACAAAAAATGGGGCGGGGAGGGGTAATGAGCAAATCGACCATGTGCACATAGCAGTAGCTAGTAAACTAGCCTCAAACAGGATATTCATAGCTTGATAATAAAAGCTGTGCAAAGGCCATGAATGAATTCTTTTCTGTTTTGTTTCACTGATGCACACATTACCTCATTGAAGATTTCTGAAGTAAATGTGACAGTGGCTTTTTGAAAAGCTCAAGAGTGGAAATGTGATGGAATTGGCAGAATCCAACCCTTAAAAGTTAACATTTTTATCTGAATCTTGTTAAGATTTCTCTTCTACAAAGCAGGACATCTCTGAAGTAAAAAGAATAAATAAATGTATTTTTTAGCAGAAGTTACCATTACCAGCAGATGGTGTTTCATTTTGGAGCAGTGTTGTAACCAATTTTTATTTAGGTTATGAATAACAGGTGACTTCACTGTTCCATTCAGTGTGTAAATACAACTCTGTCCTGAGTTAGCAGAACTACATTTCAGCTGCTTACTATGGTATTTCTCTTCACATATCAATATTCACTGTATACATTTAAAAGTATAGCTGCCTATTTAAATTTGTATTCATTTTGTGTTTGGCAAATGCTGGGTACTTAGATTTGTAATTTTCCCTTGTTACTGAGTTTTTGGGGGTGGGTTTTTGGGTAAGCTACTTATTTTTGTACATTTTTGTTTTTGAGCTCTTATAGGTTTGGATCTTCTAGTACCATTACAAGTCATACTTTATTTTTCTTTGGAGTTGATCATAGTTTTTATATGTAGCTTTTTAAAAAGTTGGACATCTCCCAGTATAAATTATCCAGTAGTTCAGGAGTGGTACAGATTGATGCAGTAAACATGATTTCATTTGCAAAGCTTAGACAAGTAAGATTTTGCTTTGCTATGTTCTTAAGATCAATTACAAACAATTCTATAGAAGGTTGTCCTTTTTTTCAGAAATACCATCTAATTTATATCAATAAAAGGTTTTGGTAAACTTTTCCATGCCAGATGCTGTTTACAACAATGAACATGCCAATAAAACATTTGTTCATTCTGTTATTTTAATAACATTTCTCTGGACTTCTTTTAATACTGAAAATATTTCATCTAGTGTTCATACCACCAAGTTTTTCTTTTTGGATTTAACTTTCAAACTAAAGGTCTACTTAAAAGTATGCAGCCTGCAGAAATTATCAATGCCCTGCAGCAGATTATGGAAGAAAGTCACATGCAGCTTGGTGTCAGTCCTATGCTTTCAACATGCAGTTTTGAGACAAGGGTTTCAAGTTGCAATTCAGAGTGCTGCAAGAGCCAGATCAATCACTTTTTTAAAAAATGGTGATGCTAGGCTGCAGGGCTGAACCAAATAAGGAACAAAATGATGTTCCAAGTAATTTGAGCATCAGATTTCAAACCTACCTTCCTGTTGCTATTTAAGTGTTATAACAGACTTATGATCTTTAAATAGTTGAGTGAGGGGAGGGGAGAGCAAGGACTTGGTTCAAGAAGGTAGCTTTCTTACAGCCAATTAGGGATGGGTATGGACTGGACTGGACAGACTGCTATTGCCAGGCATGCAGGTGCATTCTATGTGGGGGAAATGACTGCAGAAGTTAAGTATTACATGTTACATCTCACAGCCAGATGCTTTTAAAGAGTATGGTCTCTTGCAAACTCCCCTTATCTGACTATGCCTGCTTTGAAATTAACACACTTTGGAGGTTTCTGCATATATATTGAATTGGCATTTTGATAGTTATCTGGCAGCTACACTCTGTCTTGGCATCTTTTTAAAAAAGGGGTTTCAGTACCTTCCTTAGAAAACATGAAGAGACTGCCCTTAGCTGTAATATAGAATAAAGTTACCTGCCACAATATTTGTAACTCAGCTTTGACATAGAGTCAATTCCCCTTTTTCTCTTTCATACTGAAGCGGGCTGGGTTCTGTTTCCACTCTAGCCTCCAAATGCAAGAGTTCCACCTATAGTCTACTATGTGCTAAATATTATCTGTAGTGATGTTATTTGAAATAGGGCTGCCAGACATCCAGATTTTCCTGGCCATTACCAGGATTTTAAAGGCAAAATTCACATCTGGGGGAAATTTCTGAAAGGCGACACTTTGTCCTGGATCTTAGGCAAGTCAATAGAAAAATCACATTTTTCTGGCATTTTTGTAACGAAAAACTTAACAACTTTGGGGTCTTCCTAAAGTTTAAAAGGTCTCACAACAGGTTTAGGATAAATTACTTGTGAAGTTTGGACCTGGTGGTTCTTAGCATTATTCCGGGAGGGGCGTGACTGCTGGAGCAGGTGAGCCTATTGGTCATATCACCAGGTAAGGGCTGCAATAGATAATACTAGGAGAGGGGCTCATTACTAGATTGTGCCCATTACTAGGGAAGATAGTAGGATCCATGTGCCTTTTTTAAACCATAATGCTTTATTGTAAGTGCTCAATAGCAAATATGCATTGTATATAAAACATACATGCCTTCTAGAACTTGCTTCTAGGATGGGATAAAATAGCTATCTAGAGGAATGATTACTATCCATTTGATGTTAAAGTTTCACCCCACTCAGATCTTTGTTAGAGATGCTTTTTACTAATTATTGCTAAATTACATGCCACACTGACTATTCTCATCTTTTATACCTCAAGTCCCTGTAGTTGCTGTTTTTCAAAAATACAGTTACAGCAGTGTCATTAGTTATATTTTAAAAGACTGAATAAAAACAATGCCCAGTCCAAAAATCAAGAAGGCTCTTGACAAATTTTGAAAAAACAAGCAACATATACATAAAATGCAGAGCTCAAACCACCACCAATAATCATAAATAGACTTAAATTAATCTATCCATCAAGTTCAAATCATGCCTTGTTTAAAACTCAAACTTGTTCACAAAAGAGTCAATTGACAACTTTTGACATTTTAGTGTAGAATTTGGTTTGAGCTTGAAAAGAGAAAACCTCATCTGATCATGCAAGGGCAGAAGAAGATAACTATGTAGAATATACTCTCAATTATTGCACTTATATCCAGTAGTGAAAAGGGGTGCAAGTTTAGAGTTATCAAACAAGACACTATCTAAATTGCTAGAATGGTGAGTGTGACTAATTAACTTGCTTAACTACTTTACATTTCATCTCCAAAAATCAGATCCAGTTTCTTTGGATCAGTTAAGTCTTCATCCAAACCTTCCTGTACTTCTGTAATCAATCTCTCTCCATAGTCGCCAGGAATGTGTGAGGTTACAAAATCCAGAAGTGATATTTCATCCACTGGTAAAGGCTTCTCCTCATTTTGGGTCTTATTGAAAGAGAGTTCACACAGAGAATCACTGCTATGCCTGTTGAGAAAGTTGTGCATTCTCTTAGACAAGTTGTACAAGTGCCTATGCAAGCATGCATACATGTGTGAGAAACCAGTCCAAAATATAATTTGCTTCAGGCTATGAGGCATTTTAAAAGTAGCCAGAACATGTACCCTTAAAATGCAGTGGTCCTGTTTGTAATTCTGTCTTGGATGTATCCAAAAGTAGACCAGTGCTACTGAAAATTCTTTCCATTATCCCCGAACTCTGAAATGATAACCCTTCTTTTGCCACTGTTCAGTTAGGGTCAAAAGAAAGGCATATCTGATATATTCATGGCATTTATGTCCTATGGAAATTAGGTTTCGGTTCTTTAATACACTTTAGGCTCCACTCCAAGTCAAACTTAAGTGCAATTCAAACCACAGAGGCTTAAGTTAGTCTTGAGTAATTTGTGCCCTTGATTTAAGCCTGAACAAGGAGGATTGCATTCTTAAGTTTTTTGGGAAGATGAGACCTGGTCCACCCCCAAAAAATCAGTCAATATTTTTGCAGTGTGCACATTCACCCCCAGCCTGGTATCCTCCATATATTTGGACTAACTCCTGTCAAGATCAGACAACTGGCCATGCTGGCAGAGACTGAGTTAAAAACCCAGTAACATCTGGAAAGCCCCAGGGCAGGGAAGGCTTGTCTAGGAAGTCACATGTCCAGAAAGTGGGTTTGTCTTCAGTGAAAAATGAGGTGTGCACACAGGATCTGCTCCTGATCTTTCTGTGAAAAATAATCCATTTTCCTACCTCTGCATCTGACAAATGAATCCATGTGCACATGGGCAGCGATCGAGGGCTCCATCTGGCTCCAGCTCCCATGTAATTAGGTTAAGAAGCCTGTTTGAAGGATCATAGCAAGGCTCTCTCTCTCCAGGTAATGGGGTGCACACAGGGAACAGAAGGTCTGTAGGTAAAAGTTGGAGAGTCCAGTAAAACGTCTGATCTCTTCAGTTTCACATGCAGAATATGTACAGGTTGAATGTGTAAAATAAGGAATATATAAAGGTAAGTGTTAAGTCGTGGGTTGACATAGCAGCCGGCACAGCGATTTCTTCAAGTAGCTCTTTATTCTGGTAAGCTGGAATACAACTGACTGCGAACAGCTCAGCCGGCCTGTATTTATAGGCAGCCGGCTGTCAACATTGTAACCACAACAGCTCAGAGTTCCCGCCTAAAATAACTGCCGCGGACCTGAGTGAAAACTATCTACAGACCTGAGTGAAAACTATATACAGAATCCCCCTGTTGGCCCAGGGTGAAACTACACTACATAACACCCCTCCCCACCGAGATAAGGCGTTAGTTACAATCGTAATGGTTTCCTTATATACAGCACTACGCGTAATGGTTCCATTAAGCACAAAAGCATATCGGTTACATTTCCCATACTTAGACCAACAGTGATACCTGTCCAACAACATAGTCCTTTAAATAAGTTGGGCGCTTGGAAACTCTGCCAGACCGCCGGGGACTGGTAGCCAAGTCCGGAGGGCCACACAGTTCTCGCTGAGGCTGTGGTGCGACCCTAGGTGGCGTTGGAACCAACTCCCCTGGATCCGCTGCTGTGGGTGGAGCCTCCGCAAGTGGAGTGGTCTGAGTCTGTTCTGAAACGGCTTGGTTCGGCTCCACGCTGGCAGTTTGCGAGGGAGGTGTAGGTGGGGCCTCGCCATCTGTACGTGTCTCTTCTGGAGCCGCAAGCGCAGTTGGGGGCACCTCGGTAGTGTCCAAGTCCCCAACCCTGCGCCTAAGCTGGTCTATGTGCCGTCGCCACAAGCGTCCGTCTTCGAGTGCCACCTGGTACGAGCGAGGTCCAGTGACTCCCACTACTGTGGCTGGCACCCAAGGGATGTCCCCCACATAGTTCCGGGCAAAGACCTGGTTTCCTGGGACAAATGACCGTGGTGCGTTGGCACAGCCTGGGGGTTCAGCCACGGCAAAGTCTGGGTGTAGCCGGTCGAGCGATGACCTGAGGCGGCGGCCCATAAGCAGTTCAGCAGGACTCCTCCCTGTGGCCGCATGAGGGGTGATGTGTTGCACGAACAAGTATTCGGCGACTCGCTCATGCCAGTCTCCCCGGTCCAGCCGCGCCAGTGCCTCTTTTGTCGAGCGCACCATTCTTTCCGCTTGCCCGTTGCTGGATGGATGAAAGGGTGCCGTTAGGGCATGGCGGATGCCCAGTCCCAAAAGATACCGCTCAAACGTGCCTGACGTGAACTGCGGTCCGTTGTCAGAGACAAGGACATCAGGACACCCATGCGTTGCAAACAGGCCTCGCAGCACCCGGATGACAGCTTCGGTAGTGGTGGAGGGCATCAGGGCGACCTCCAGCCATTTGGAATAGGCGTCCACCACTACCATAAAGGTCCGGCCGTGAAAGGGGCCAGCCAGATCGATGTGCACCCTCGACCAGGGTGTCTTTGGCGTCTCCCAGGTGTGTCCCTTAGCTGCCGGTGGTGCAGGCCTCGACTCCTGGCACGCTTGACAGGCGGACACCCAGGCAGTGATGGCATCGTCCATATTAGGCCACCAGACGTAACACCGAGCCAACGCCTTCATTTTGACAATTCCCGGGTGGCCAACGTGCAGAGCCTCCAGGACGCGCTGACGGAGTCCCTGGGGAATCACGACGCGGTCTCCCCACAGCAGGCAGCCACGATGAGCTGAGAGTTCATGTTGTCTGGTTGCGAAGGGCTGGAACTCCGATGCAAAAGGCCCTTGTGGCCACCCCCTCCACACCCAGTTGAGCACCCGGCTGATGGTGCGATCCTGGGCAGATGCGGAGGCCACAGTGGCAGCCGATACAGGCGCTGCCGGAAGATCCTCAATCAGAAGGAGCGATGAAGCTGGAGCCGGGTCTTCCACAAATGCTGGAAGAGGGCAACGGCTGAGGGCGTCGGCATGGCCCATCGATTTCCCCGGGCGATGGATGAGCCGGTAGTGGTAGGCAGCCAGGAAAACAGTCCATCGCAGCATGCGTGGTGAGAGGACCGGTGGAGTTGGACGATCACCGGCGAGGAGGCCCAGGAGTGGCTTGTGGTCAGTGATGAGGTCAAAAGTCCTGCCATAGAGGTATTCATGGAACCTCTTCACTCCAGCCACAAGTGCCAATGCCTCCTTGTCGAGCTGGCTGTAATTCCGTTCCGTCGGAGATAGTGTCCTGGAAAAGTAGGCGAGCGGTGCTTCTCTTCCATCTGGAAAACGGTGACTAAGGACAGCACCGATGCCAAAAGGTGAGGCGTCGCAGGCAAGGACCAGCGGCCTGGATTCACTGTACTGTACCAGCACACTGTCTGAAGAAAGGAGAGCCTTGACCGCGTTGAAGGCCGCCGTCTCCCGATGACCCCAGGCCCAAGGCATCTTAGTGCTAAGGAGTCGGTGAAGAGGCTCAGCCACTGTGGCTTTGTGGGGCAGGAACATGTTATAAAAGTTCAGCAGCCCCAGGAATGCCTGCAACTCCGTTTTGTTCTTTGGGGTGGGGGCCTGCTGAATAGCGCGGATCTTGGATGTGGTTGGATGAAGACCGGAGGCATCGATAAGATAGCCCAGGAACTCTACCTGTGGAACGGCGATCTGGCACTTCTCCCTCTTTACCTTGAGCCCGGCCTCCTGGAACCTGGTCAGCACGGCACGGAGGCGCTCGAACAGCTGCTGGTGTGAGTCTGCAGACACCAAGACGTCATCAAAATATGGTACCACGCCCGGAAGCCCTTGCAGGAGACGCTCCATAAGGCTTTGGAAGATGCCAGGAGCCACACTCACCCCGAACTGCAACCGGCGGCAACGGAATGCCCCCCGGTGGGTGACGATCGTCTGGGCTTCCGCAGTGGCATCATCGACTGGCAGTTGTTGATAGGCTTGGGCAAGGTCCAGCTTAGCGAAGACCTTACCCTCACCCAGGGAATGCAGCAGGTGTTGGACAACAGGAACCGGATAAGCGTGCTGCTGAAGTGCCTTGTTGATCGTGCACTTGTAGTCAGCGCAGATTCTCACCGACCCATCTGGCTTGACAGGCGTGACGATGGGGGTTTCCCACTTTGCGTGGTCAACCGGCTCCAAAACTCCTTGGGCGATCAGTTTGTCCAGTTGTTCGTCCACCTTAGCCTTGAGAGCAAAGGGAACCCGGCGTGGCTTTAGCTTGATGGGGGCGACTTGTGGATCAAGGCTAAAGGAGATGGGCGTACCTGTATATTGGCCCAAGGTGCCGTCAAAAACCTCGGCAAAGTCTTTGACCAGACCCTCAGTCTCTGCGTTAGAGATGCAGTTGATGCCGGTGACTTCCAGGCCGAGGGCATCAAACCAGTCTAGCCCTAGGAGGCTTGGCCGCTGACCTTCGACCACCACCAACCGGAGCAGGCCCGAAAAATCCTTGAAAGCGATCCGGAACCGGCCAACGCCTACCACGGGAATGTCGTTTCCCTGGTAGTCTCTCAGGTGTACGCGGTGAGAGTCGAGTTGCCTTTTGGACACTCTGGGTACCAGTCTTTTGATGGTGCTCCATGACACGATGGACAGGGCAGACCCGGTGTCGATCTCCATGTCACATGGAGCTCCTTCAATGAGCACCGTGACGTTCAGCTTGCGTCGCGTAGGCGAGTCGGTTTGGCCAATCGTGGTTCCAGACGGGCAGCGGCAGTTGGTGAGAGCGAAACAACTTTTCTTGGCAGACTGGAGTGAAGACTTGGACTTGCGAGTCGATGAAGGAGGGGTGTCAGACGGAGCCGATCGGCAGACCTTAGCGATGTGGCCCCTTCTGGAACACTTCCTACAGATGGCGTCTCTGAATCGACACTTGGCACGGGAATGGTTGCCTCCGCAGCCAGCACATTCCGGTTGGCCCTTGGACTTCTGTTGGAACTTCCTGCGCTCCCGCTTTGTCTGGTGCACGTCATCGTCTTCACTGGAGGATGCCTCATCACTGCTGGCCTCTTCATGATGCACCGGAACTGGCTCCCTAGCAAGACGCGGGCTGCTGGACTTGCGGATCTCCTGGGCGGAGCGTTCAGCAGCTTCTGAGGCCACAGCCTCCTCAATGGCTTTCTGTAGCGTGAGGTCTGGCTTGGCTAGGAGGCGCCGTTGCAGATGGATGTCCCGGACCCCGCAGACGATTCGATCCATCAGGGCATCGTCTAAGTCTCGGAACTCACAGTGCATTGCAGCCTGTCGCAGGGCGGTGGTGTAGTTGTTGATTGACTCCCCCTCTGCCTGGTTCCGGTGGTAGAACGCATGGCGGGCAGCAATCTTGGACGGCTTTGGTGCGTAGTGGTTGCGGAGCTTCTCTTGGATCGTGTCCCATGGTGTTGCCTGGACTGCTTCAGGTGCAACCAACGCTCGGGCCGTCTCAAACACCTCAGGCCCACAGAGGCTGAGGAATAGGCCCCGCTTCCGATCCTTTGATACTGCTGTCAGCTCGTTGGCTTGGAGGTAGCAGTCGAACCGAGCGAGGTAGGAGTCCCACAATTCAGAGGCTGGCGCAAACGGCGGTAGAGGCACAAGTGAAGCCATGATTCCGATGCCGGCGTGAAGGGCGATGGATGGAACACAGTGCTCTAGCCAGAACAGTCAGCTCTGAATTGGTTCTGCCCAGTGATTTCGCTCAGTGATTTCGCTCTGTGATTCAGCTCAGTGATTCAGCTCAGTTCAGAGGCTGGCCGCATCTGGCTGTGCTCTGATGTCCATCCATCCCATCCTCGTCGCCAGTGTTAAGTCGTGGGTTGACATAGCAGCCGGCACAGCGATTTCTTCAAGTAGCTCTTTATTCTGGTAAGCTGGAATACAACTGACTGCGAACAGCTCAGCCGGCCTGTATTTATAGGCAGCCGGCTGTCAACATTGTAACCACAACAGCTCAGAGTTCCCGCCTAAAATAACTGCCGCGGACCTGAGTGAAAACTATCTACAGACCTGAGTGAAAACTATATACAGAATCCCCCTGTTGGCCCAGGGTG